ATATAATTATTAAACTATGATTTTACCGTTTTCCGTAAATTACAATTTATTATAAATGTGTTATTAATTCGGTGTTTCCCTGTTTTACATTATTTGTGTTCCTAGCATGAAATATCGATTAATGCTTTGAAATATAATACAGCTTAGTAATCGAAGAATCGATATCGATAATCGCCGTTCTATGAAGCTCAACTGTAACACTGAGTTAGGAAAAGAACCGGATAAGGAAAACCTGGAATGAATATAAAATTTGAAATAATTAACTGAATTAAGTAATCCGCTGGAAAAAGTATACGACTCAGGGCACACTCGAGACGAACTAAAAGGAAAAGTACTCACAATGTCTCTTAATGGATGGAACAACGTACGGAGCGATTCTATTATTTGCGTTTGTGTTTCTTTAAGTTTTAGAGAAGAGCACTTATTTAATTGGGTCAATATAAACTAGAACTGAGAGTCACACAATAGATCATCTGGTGGAAATTGCTACTGAATCCATTAAGGAATGTGAATAATTTCATTGTACAATTCGAGATTTAGCCACAAGCAATGCAGCAAACATGAACAAAATGTGTGAAACCTTAGCTTAACAGGATGGACTAGCCGATCATCCAAGCATTATTAAGAATGGATGTTTTTACCACATATTAAACCTTTTTGCGCGTGACTTGAATGTGGTTGAAATTACTAATGACGTGAAGATCATAATGAAATGCTCATTCGCAAAACACACTATGCCTCATTAGTATTCCGGTAACATTTAGAGGCAGTGTAGAGTGTATTTAGATTTGAGAACAATTGCCGGTAGGACAACCGCGTTACCTTATGTCTCGTTGTTATCGCAAGCGTCAAGTGACGAAACAGTCAGTCCTGCTCGTGACCTTCGCAACAGCTGGCACAGACAGGTCAAGAGCAAGTGTGACAATTAGTGGTAGCCTGTGCACTCCGTAGTTGCTTCGATTGACAATGTTTAATTAAATTAAGTTGAGTGTGAAATTATCAAACAAAAAACAATGTATTCGCACGTAGAATATGCGGACAAAGTCACATATGGACGGTGTAATGGAAATACACACGCGTCATCATTACCGGAGTAGTTGAGGGTTTCAATAAGGTCAATATTCTCATGTTTATGTATATCACTGAGTGGTGCGAGATGACTCCTTCTATTTTTTTTTTTCGTGTACTTTTTTTTCTCTTATTTTTTTCGAAGTACTGGTCAGACACAGTGTACATGGGGACTGGTCAGAAGTCATATGGAATACACTGGCAGACTGTTTGAAAATTTTTTTGGGAAAACTAGTACGTCATGTCTGATAAATATCTATGTCGCATCTCGTTTTGCTCTGTTGCAATTTCTACTTTGTAGCAAACACGTGGACGTTACTGCATAACTACCAATATGAGCTATAAAATTGACACAGAAATATTAATTTGTACAATACAAACCCAAACGTTCATATGGGATGCATCTTGCAGTATAAAAATCGCGATCTTAAATACAGAGTATACAAGGATGTGGCAGCTGTTCTAGTGTAATCTTTCCACCAACGAAATCGACACTTTTACTACATCGTAGAATGTTAATTAATTTGCAAGTTTGTCATTGAATTCGTAAAACGATTTAGTCGACATACGAAAACAATTAAAAAATTCAAATTTGTCTTCCCGTAGTTTACAGTATAGAATAACAAAGGTACCTATTAACAGCCAACGATAGGATACATCCTTGTTTCTCATCTCATTTCTTCGTTGTAATAGTCAACCTACGGCAACTGTCTCATTACATAGATATATCTTGATACTCGACACTTTATTCTATAAGAGAACGCTATCGATAATTGAATTTAAGAAGAGAATAAAGACCGGTTCTTTGCGAGAACACAAGCAAACCCAAAAAAAAAAAACACTTACCTTAAGACATGCACTGCTCTCATGCATTCATGTACTCACAAATTACGAAGCTAATAAAAAAAATAAAGGAACTAACAAAGGTTTATTGGAGCAGAAAAGTTAAGTTAATATATCTACAATAAAGGAGAATCTACTTAACTAATTAAATATACTAATGGGAATTTACAACGGACGGGGTCACTTGAGCGAGTGTTCAAAATCTTCGAACTTGAACCTCCCTTTCTAAACCGATGCTACTTCTCTAACGCCTAGTATTGGTGCAGTTATTTCTCGATGGTCACGGGTCAGGTCCAGCAGTAACCTCAACGAAAATTAATAAAACAATCTTCTTAATCATGCATGACCTGATTATAAATAACCCGGTATAAGTCATCCTACAACAAACAAAAGAAGTGGTCGATGTTAGGTATCTAGGAAGTCAGATAAGTCAGGACGGAAGGAGTAGTTAATTAAGAAATTTAAAAAAGGTTGTTAAAGGCGTATGCTTGGAACAGTGGTCTGAGGAAAAGAAATGGTTAGATACGTTCGAAATGTGGTATTGCAGGCGAATGGTGAGGATAGAGAAGGGTACAAATGAAGAGGTATTAGAAAGAGCAGGAGAACAAAGGACTCTATGGAAGAAATAGGCGAGATAGGCCTGACGAAAGTCAGGAGGGGTAGAGGTAGGGCTAGATTAGATTACTGTTCACAAATAGTTAAAGATGTGGGATGTTCTAGTTTTAGGGAAATGCGAAGATTAGCTCAGGATAGGGAAGAGTGGAGGTGCGTGTCCAACCTGTCTTAGGACTGACGACCTTATGATGATGAACAAACAAAATCATATATCAATTATATTTTAACAAACAAACGAAATCAATTTTTCGACGTACATCATAAATTCAAAGCAAAATAACTCTACTCTTAGATAGCAAACTCGAAAGGAGAATACAGCCAATAGATTTACTCAACTACACGTCTATTCAGTCTCACACTGTCGATGTTAGTTCCATCGTCATCTCTATTAGAACTATAAGAACAGCAGATGATGAGGGAATCACCATTTTCATCGTAGCGCTTTCAAAGTTTTCCAGAAAGTCCATGTCTCAACTTCTTCAGGAAATCGTCTCTCTTACCGGACTTCTCAGTCATTACTACAGGGGGGGCATTCGCTGCACAGGTTGTCTTCTCGCACACTTATCTAGTCATAAGTACTAATCGTCGTCTATGTACTTTGTCAGTACGTGAACCATTTTAGAGCATTTACGATATGAGTCAACAGCTCTGTAAATATATTTAATTCTCATGAGCTTTTTAAGAAGGCTACTACTTCCGCACTACCATTTTAACATAAACTGATTTGATAGTCATCAGTTCGCCTTTCATGGTTTTTCCAGTACCAAAATCTTCACTTTTCTATCATTGCTTCTTGTACCATTCAGCGTCGTCTTCATACTAACTAGTAGAACAAATATCTATTTGTATTTATGTCGACACCATCAATCGATGCGTGAATGGATCCTACGTGGGTTGACATTGACAACCACCATTTGGGCTTCCTGCAACAAGTGTGCCGGCATAGACAGACTATCTCGGATTCCAACAACTTCTGAACTACATCAACGATCAACTAATTCCTTTGATTACCATTTACACCCAAATATGAGCTGCGCTTCAGAAGCACAAGATCAACTAGCTCAGCGCTTAGAGTGGTAGCAGCGTGTTTTAAAGAAATGGCTTTGTCAAATTAATTCTTTATAATTTTTACTATCTCTAAGATGGTTTCATAATAATTTAACTGTTATGCGACTACCTATCTACAAGTTTGTCTTAATTAATTATTTATTATAAAGCTGATTATTTACATGCATACTGCATTATCTGGTTATCGTATAGAAGCGGAACCAACGCAGTTTTATTTACGATGACGCGTTACTAGCAATTATCGTGTGTTAAGCTTCCTAGCGTTTGGGCTTATATCAATTTTACACCAAACAATCAGCATCATCAAAAGAGTACCGTCCTTGGCATACAGTTCTTATCAGAAACGCCTTCGTACAATCAAACAGAGAGATAACAATTAGCCCGTACGCATACATGCATGAGCATAAACAAAATCAATAATTTTAACAATACGGTCGTCATGAGATAATTTTAGCCGCAACAAAGTTCGTGTTGGCTCTTAATTAACAGGGACTGAATGACGATGCAATATTCAAAAACTGTTAGCGAAATTACTGAAATTTATAATGCCGATAAGGGCAGCAACGTGTAGCACGCGATTAGGGGTAGTAGCGCACTCGGGGTTGGCCAGTTCGCGCAAAGTCGACGGTGGATGTTGTAGGCGTTGCGACGCTCGTTCCTCGGTAGTATTACCACCGACGCTTGCAATTTCTCCGTTTAATGTTCAGCGCGTTTTCGCACGCGGTTAAAAGTACGATCGGATTATTAAAAGTTTACAAAAGACATTATTGTTAATAGTATAATTGTTTAATTAATCGTGACATACGTGCTTTGAAATACTGTTAAAAGCGTGTTTCACGCATGTGATCCTTTAACCTTTGACCTTACTCGCACTCGTGATGTTTAAAATACTGGTCTACACACTTCTGCATTTGAATGCAGGTAAGTTTCTAACAAAAATCTTATTAGTATTATATTGTATTGTATTGTATTGTATTACTCATTTATGTAAATAATCCTTAAAAAGAAGAAACTGTTAAAGTGGTAGTAGATATACTATCCTCGAAGAAATTAAACTCTCATTAGCCTTAGGAGATCTGCGAATTTACCAAAGTTTAGAACTTCAGTCTCTCTCTCACAATCCTTACGTTTCCTACAAGGAAGGAATGTAAAATGAAACCCTTTTATTTCATAATTTATGCAGTCATTTGAAATAAACTTATGGTAAACTTAATTTACGGGAACTTTTATAAATTCATACCATTAGGTGTCATGATAAAGATAAAAGGTATAAGAATATCTCCAGAGAATATTTTTTAATTACTTGTACATAAGTTATTAATATTTTTCAAGTTAACGTGCGTCCATTTTAATTCCTCAATTGTTAGAGCCAACTTGTTGATCAACAGTTTATTATCGACGCGACGTTATTCGCTCAATTTATTCGAATATCAAGGATTTATTTCAAAACTAGCTGATTAATTTTGTCTTGAATTATTTGTGGAAGTCCAGAGAAGGTTTAAAAGGTGAATAAATATGAAAGTTGTTAACTATCTTTCAGATTATTTTTATGTAGATTGATAAATCTTAAGTTTTGTCACAAATTAAATTTCTGAACGCAACCATAATATTTGACATTTGACAACCAAGTTTATTTCATACAAAAGTTTAGGTCTTTTATGTATCGATTGAGGCAGTACGAACTCTGCCGGGTCAGCTAGTTGACAATATAAATCGCATTATGCTATGCTATATCAACCCTGCCTAGATTTACAGTAGTTCTGCGTACCTATGTTTTAGCGTATCATTGCTATTAGGCATCATCATCATCGTCATTATAAGTTCCTCAGTCCTAAGACTGGTTGGACACGCACCTTCACTCCTTCCTATCCTGCGCTAATCTTCGCATATCCCTAAAACTAGAACAAGCCATATCCTTAACCATTCTTTCTACTACCTCTTCATTTCTAACCTTCTCTATTCACGGTATCCTTATCATTTGCTGGTAACACTACATTTCGAACGCTTCTAACGTTTTGTTTTCCGCCGCAACCAACCTTCCACCCAGAGTAGATTTTTAGAGAGACGTTTGGTAAGTTCGGTTCCGACCAGTCCAAATGGACGTCATGCTCAATCTCCTGCTTGTAAGCCTCTCATCGATGACGCTCCGGCACTCAGCCCTCGGGGTCTTGTTTTCAGATGGTGCTAGTTATTCTCCGATGAATTTCGTGCGGAGAATAATCTTATGATTTCCTTTCCTAACACGACATTTTCGATATACTCTGTTCTTAAATTAATTAGCCAATTTCTTTGTTTCTTTTATATTCTACCTACTGTAGCAATCATTAACGAAAACACCAAATTACGGCTATATTGTCCTCAAATTTAGGGTTCATAGAATTATAAAAAACTGCTATTTTAATGTGTACCTACCACGGGAGGTTATTGTGTATGTACACGGTAAATTTCTGACATCGTTTTGTGAACTTATTTCAATTACTTAATAAAGAAAGGTTAATTTAATTTTTTTTAAAGTTTGATTTATCAGTTTTGAACTTGAACTGGTTTAGAAAGGTGATGCAAACAATAATTTTCAACAAAGATCATGAAAAACATAAATAAGGCAACAGAACCGTACTTCATGACCACCAAGTAGTTTTTTTTTATTACTAAAACAACGTCAACATAACAAAAATATTTGAAAAAACGCAAATAATATTTTTAATTAACTAATTAACAGATTGAATAACAAAGTTTATAAGAACGTTCTTTTGCCTATGAATAAAAATTCATTTTGTATACCTCTACTCGAAAGCAATAATAAATCTAGTTTAATGTAAATAAAATTTCGTTCTGTTTCCAGAAAACCTTTCAGTTAGACAATTGTAGAGATTGGAAGGCCGGCCCTGATAAGTTAGGATATACATTGAATTTGCAAAAAATCGTTGTTGCTAAGAGCTCCAGCTTGTACACAAGTTGTTTTGCATAACCAAGAGCACTGTTCTTATTATTTGTTTAAATTTACAATAACGCACGCATCATAATCAAAATATCATTTCTACGATGGGAAACATTTTGGACTATCACATTTTGGAAAACAATAACAAAAGAAGCCGCACGCAATAGCGAGCGCACTTTAACATCTACACCAACAGAGTGGCAATATTAAGTAAGGTTTGCATCATTTTCTAAACATTTTCAACGATAAAAACTATGTATTTTAGAACGGAAAGTAGTAATTTATTGTAAATAGTTGCTATATAAGTATATATATATCATTTAAATTTGTATTATACTTTTTATATACTCCGAATGCTGAGATTTTATATTGTACATGCGAGCTTGTCATGACTTTTA